AATGATGTGGATTTCTGCACAAATTGGTCATAAAATGTTATCTGATCATCATCTAAGTCACAACAATAGACAATCACAGTCTGCTTAAACTAATAACACACAAAGAATGAAATGTTACCATGTTTTTATTGAACACACCATGTAAACATTCACAGTGCAGGTGGAAAAAGTATGTGAATGCCTAGACTAATGACATCTCCAAGAGCTAATTGGAGTGATATGTCTGCCAACTGGAGTCCAATCAATGAGATGAGATTGGAGGTGCTGGTTACAGTTGCCCTATAAAAAACACACACCAGTTCTGGGTTTGCTTTTCACAAGAAGCATTGCCTGATGTGAATGATGCCTCGCACAAAAGAGCTCTCAGAAGACCTACGATTAAGAATTGTTGACTTGCATAAAGCTGGAAAGGGTTATAAAAGTATCTCCAAAAGCTTTGCTGTTCATCAGTCCACAGTAAGACAAATTGTCTATAAATGGAGAAAGTTCAGCACTGCTGCTACTCTCCCTAGGAGTGGCCGTCCTGTAAAGATGACTGCAAGAGCACAGCGCAGACTGCTCCATGAGGTGAAAAAGAATCCAAGAGTGTCAGCTAAAGACTTACAAAAGTCATTGGCAAATGCTAACATCCCTGTTAGCGAATCTACAATATGAAAAACACTAAACAAGAATGGATTTCATGGGAAGATACCACAGAGGAAGCCACTGCTGTCCAAACAAAACATTGCTACACGTTTACAGTTTGCACAAGAGCACCTGGATGTTCCACAGCAGTACTGGCAAAATATTCTGTGGACAGATGAATCCAAAGTTGAGTTGTTTGGAAGAAACACACAACACTATGTGTGGCGACAAAAAAGGCACAGCACACCAACATCAAAACCTCATCCCAACTGTGAAGTATGGTGGTGGGGGCATCATGGTTTGGGGCTGCTTTGTTGCGTCAGGGCTTGGACGGATTGCTGTCATCGAAGGAAACATGAATTCCCAAGTTTATCAAGACATTTTGCAGGAGAACTTAAGGTCATCTGTGTACCAGCTGAAGCTCAACAGAAGATGGGTGTTGCAACAGGACAATGACCCAAAGCATAGAAGTAAATCAACAACAGAATGGCTTAAACAAAAGAAAATACGCCTTCTGAAGTGGCCCAGTCAGAGTCCTGACCTCACCCCGATTGAGATGCTGTGGCATGACCTCTAGAAAGCGATTCACACCAGACATCCCAAGAATATTGCTGAACTGAAACAGTTCTGTAAGGAGGAATGGTCAAGAATTACTCCTGACCGTTGTGCACGTCTGATCTGCAACTACAGGAAACGTTTGGTTGAAGTTATTGCTGCCAAAGGAGGTTCAACCGGTTATTAAATCCAAGGGTTCACATACTTTTTCCACCTGCACTGTGAATGTTTACATGGTGTGTTCAATAAAAACATGGCAACATTTCATTCTTTGTGTTATTAGTTTAAGCTGACTGTGATTGTCTATTGTTGTGACTTAGATGGTGATCAGATCACATTTTATGACCAATTTGTGCAGAAATCCATATCATTCCAAAGGTTTCACATACTTTTTCTTGCAACTGTATTTCTGATGACTTAAAGGTAGGCAGACAATGTAATAGAGCAGCAGGAAATGCTAGCAGAATGCTTGGTTGTATAGGGAGAGGTATTAGCAGTAGAAAGGGAAGTGCTCATGCCATTGTACAGAACACTGGTGAGACCTCACTTGGAGTATTGTACACAGTACTGGAGACCGTATCTCCAGAAGGATATTGATACCTTAGAGAGGGTTCAGAGAGGGGCTACTAAACTGGTTCATGGATTGCAGGATAAAACTTACCAGGAAAGGTTAAAGGATCTTAACATGTATAGCTTGAAGGAAAGACGAGACGGGGGGATATGATAGAAACATTTAAATACATAAAGGGAATCAACACAGTAAAGGAGGAGACTGTATTTAAATGAAGAAAAACTACCACAACAAGAGGACATAGTCTTAAATTAGAGGGACAAAGGTTTAAAAATAATATCAGGAAGCATTACATTACTGAGAGGGTCGTGGATGCAAAGAATAGCCTTTCAGCTGAAGTGGTAGAGAAAAAGGATCACTATAGAGTCAGGAACACAAGCATGTATATAGTGGACCGAAGAAGTGTGTCATAGCCGTGTGGCTCAGTGGTGCAGCATATATGCCTATTTTACCTGAGGCCACTACTTCTGGTATAATTTGGGAAGTCAGGATGTGCTGGGAGGGTTGTCGGGCTTCTGTCTAGCAGACCAAGATGTGGGACTTCCATCCTATATCGGGGGGGGGGGGGTCTATTGCTTCTGTGCCTTCGTGTGTTGTGTGGATTAGTCTAAGATTAGTGTGGTGTTGCTATGTAAGAATAAAACTGGGTGCCCGGGGCCCTCTCATTATTCATGACGATTTGCTACTCCTAACAAACGGGAGCCTGGGGGTGTGTGGAGAGAGCATAACATGTGTGCCCCAAATGTGGGCTTGTGACTTAGGATTGGATTCTCTCTGTGGTGAGAGGACCTACATTACGGTCCACGTGTGCTCGGTTATGGGACAGTGTATCAGAAGTAACTATCGGTGGTAGTAATGAAAGAACATATATGCAAAAAAGTGTAACTTAGCTTAATATAATAAAACTTTGGTAAATGCTATATCATTGAAGAGCCTTTCAGGTAGCTGCCACTAGCCTCTCGCCTCTATGTGGGGTAAACGGGACTGTCCTTTCTGGGTCCCATCTGTGGGAGGTTGAGGGTTATGCTGGAGTTGGAGGCTGTGGGGAGAGTCTCAGTGAGTGCAGGAGTGAGGTAGCATCTGACAAGGAGGTGAGTTTCGTCGTGACCCCAATGATGACCACCATCAAAGACCAAGGTGTGCCTCATCTGTATTCCACTCAAGCGGTGCATAACTGTTGGTCTATAGGTCCTAGTGACTGTCTCCACTGCAATGTGTTCCTTGTTAAGTCCTGGAAGAATGTGAGTTGGGAGTACAAAGTCGACTGGAGTTTTGTTCCTTACTGCTGCCATAAGTAGGTTCTTATCAGAGATTGAGTAGCAGCAAGCAATTACATCTCTGGTGGCGGTAGAGGGTGCTTGCATATGCTTGTTGACCCTAAAGCAGTTGTCAAACGATATCTTTTTAGTCTATGTGTGCGGCAGGATCGTGGAAAAGGCGTCATAAGTATTGAGGCAGTTCGACAGGGCCAATGTCGTTGGGGATACCTTATCCTTATGTTAGCTTGCAGGTTGCGGTCTTCAGCCTAGTGAGCACCATAGAGTGGGAGGTTTGAAGTTGGGTAAGGTGTCTTTGAGACCCTGTACCTGTTTCCGGACCTCCATGATATCCTCCTCGTAAGCTGGTACCCGGGTCGTTACAGCCTGAACTTCTATCCGCACCAGCCCGACATCTGTTGTGTACATTTGCCGCATTTCCAGCATAATGTTGCGGATATCCTCCTTGGCAAGATTTCGTGTGTCCCCTTCCAACCCTGCTGTGGAGAGTGTCGGTTCAGCCAGTGGATCCGGAGTAGTAGATGCTCTCTGGACCGCGGTGCGTTGTAGCAGGGTACCGATATCACGGGTATCCTTGTTCTCACAATTTTTTATTTTTTGGGGATTGCCAAGCCATCATGTCTGTGCTGCATGGGGGTCTTGTGGTAGGAGACTGGATTTGTCAAAAATGCTTCCAGGGTGTTTGCACAGCCCAGCGTGTAGGCCATAGCATGTGGGCGGGCATGCCCCAGAACGTTGGTAGATTTTCCTGCCCGTCGGGGTATACAAAGAGGCAGGTGCCGGTAGCCAATTCCTTCAGGGAAATAGGGTTTGTGGTGTCGCACCCCAATGTCTCCAAAATCACATTTTTTTTACCGATTTGTCAGTAGCTTGCGGGAGCTCATGAAAATGACATCGGTATAAAGCTCTGCACCACCGTCGTGATATATTTTACTTTTTAAAACACTCATATTTGTATTGCAAAGTCTCCCGAGTATAACAATTCCCCCATGTACAGGTTTTATGGTGTTTTGGAAAGTTATAGGGTCAATATAGTGCTTGCCCAATTCAGTTTGACAGATTGGTTTGCTGGGTCTATGTTGCCTTTTGAGACCATATGGTAGCCCAGGAATGTGAATTAATCTCATCATGGCATACCATTTTCAAATGTAGACAACCCAGGGTATTCCAAATGGGGTATTTCCAGTCTTTTGTAGTAGCCAAAGTTAGCATGTTTTTTTTTGCATTAAAAAAAAAAAAACTGCACTTTTACTGGTGATATTATCACCACTTGAGTGGAATACAGATGAGGCACCCCCATGTAAGGTTTTAAAGTGTTTTGGAAAGTTACGGGGTTAAATATAGGGCTTTCCAATTAAATTCTATGAACTGTCTGCCTGGGTTGTCAGGCAGGTCTCTCAAATTATAATTAATAAAATCAAATAATTATGTAATTAATAGTTATACATATGTAGAATGTGTGTGTATATATATATACAGGCCCGGACTGGCCATCGGGCACAGCGGGCAAATGCCCGGTGGGCCGCGGTGTCCGTGGGGCCGAGGCCGGCAGGGGAGGTCCCAGGATCTCCCCTGCCGGTCTATGCAGGGCCGGCACTCTCCTAGCGCCGGCCCCGCTGTCTGCCACGACGGGCCGGTGGGGAGATCAAAGATCTCCCTCACCGGCCCACATGCGGCCGCCGGCGGGGAGGTAGGGAGACAGCCAGCTAGGCTGGAGAGAGGACCCGGCGGAGCTCTAATATGCGGCTCCGCCGGGTTCCTCTCGCGAGATCCGGCGCGTTGCCATGGCAACGACCGGATCTCGCGAGGAGTTCACTCACCCACGAGGAACACCAGGGAACACTGCCTCCCCGCCTCCAGTCCCAGCGTGCCGGTCCCCCCCTCCCAGGCTAAAGGTAAGAAGGGAGGGGGGGGAATAATACCTGTTTTTTTTTTATTATTTACCCCCCCTACATACACACAATAACATTTATACAGCACTCTCACACCCATCACACACAGCACTCTCTCACACCCATCACACACAGCACTCTCACACACACACAGCACTCTCTCTCACACAGCACTCTCACACCCATCACACACAGCACTCTCACACACACACAGCACTCTCTCTCACACAGCACTCTCACACCCATCACACACAGCACTCTCACACACACACAGCACTCTCTCTCACACAGCACTCTCACACCCATCACACACAGCACTCTCTCTCACACAGCACTCTCACACCCATCACACACAGCACTTTAACACACACAGCACTCTCTCACACCCATCACACTCACAGCACTCTCACAGAGCACTCACACACACACAACACTCTCACACCCATCACACACAGCACTCTCACACCCATCACACACAGCATTCTCTCACAGCACTCTCACACCCATCACTCTCACAGAGCACTCACACACACACAGCAATCTCACACCCATCTCACATACCCATCTCACACAGCACACTCACACCCATCACTCACACACGGCATTCTCCCATCCATCACTCACACACAGCATTCTCACAGCCTTCACTCACACACGGCACTCTCACACCCATCACTCACACACGGCACTCTCACACCCATCACACACCGCACTCTCACACACACATACTGCACCCCTCACATACACACAGAACCCCCCCCAACACACTGCACCACAAACATACACAATACTTCCAAATATATATATGTATACACGCACACACTACACTCTTAAAGGACCACTCTAGCCACCCAGACCACTTCAGCTTAATGAAGTGGTCTTGGTGCCAGGTCCTTCTAGGGTTAACCCATTGTTTTATAAACATAGCAGTTTCAGAGAAACTGCTATGTTTATCAATGGGTTAAGCCTTCCCCCAAAGCCTCTAGCAGCTGTCTCATTGACAGCCGCTAGAGGTGCTTGCGTGCTTTTCACTGTGAAAATCACAGTGAGAGCACGCAAGCGTCCATAGGAAAGCATTATAAATGCTTTCCTATGCGACCGGCTGAATGCGCGTGCAGCTCTTGCCGCGTGTGCGCATTCAGCCGACGGGGCGGATCGGAGGACGAGAGCTCCCCGCCCGGCGCTGGAAAAAGGTAGTTTTAACCCCTTTCCAGAGCCGGGCGGGAGGGGGTCCCTGAGGGTGGGGGCACCCTCAGGGCACTATAGTGCCAGGAAAACGAGTATGTTTTCCTGGCACTATAGTGGTCCTTTAACATACACACTCTGGATTCCCTATACACACACTAGATTCCTTGTAAGCAAACACATTCTACACCCCTAAACACACACACACTATAGCCTGTATGCACACACTTGCTATATCCCCAATACACACATTCTCTACAGCCCATAGCCACATATGCATCACATTACACCACAAACACAACACGACTAAAACCGACCTTATTACACAATACCACACCACGACCAGCTCACTCTACACACACGCAATACCACAAGCAGGCTCCAAACACATGCACAATACTCTTTCCTGGCCTTTTGTCTCCTGGTATCCATTTATAGACACCAGAGACAAGTTGCAAGGAAACACAGTGCAAGCATGTTATTAAATTTGCTTGCACTGTGCAAAACAAATACAGGACTTTTTTCTCATGCTAGAGCTCTTCAGCAGAGCTCTGCGCATGGTCTGCCCTGGAAGAGCATTGAACCAACATGCTCACTTTGAGAGGAGGCGTGTCTGTCATTGGTGACAAAACACACCTCCTCTGCCCCGCCCCCTTTTTAGTGGGCCGCTGTGTTAAAAAAATGCCCGGGCCGAATTTTTCTCCCAGTCCGGCCCTGTATATATATATATATATATATATACTTATATATATATATATACATGTGTGTGTTTATATATATATATATATATATATATATATATATATACACAAATACACATATACATATAATATACATATATTATGTGTGTATATACACATAAACACACACACTTTTATTTCCTATATATGTATAATATATTGAAAAATAATTAAAGCATTTTATAATATATTATGCATATATACTGTATACATACAATTTAATTACAAGTGTATTTTGAGATATATGTATACATTTCTCAACGTACACTTATGATGCAATCATATAAATGAATATTATTATTATTATTATTTTATTATTTATATAGCGCCAGCAAATTTCGTAATGCTGTACAATGGGTGGACTAACAGACACGTAATTGTATCCATACAAATGGACACACAGGAACAGAGGGGTTGAGGGACCTGCTCAATGAGCTTACATGCTAGAGGGAGTGGGTTATATTGACACAAAGGGTATAACTAGGGGTAATGAAATAGGTTGCTAGAAAAGTAATCACTGAGAACTTAGTAGGTTAACAGTTTAGATGATATGCTTTCCTGAAGAAGTGTGTTTTCAAAGATTTTTTTGAAGGCGTGGAGACTGGGTCAAAGTCTAACGGAGAAGGGAAGGGAGTTCCACAGAAAAGCCCTGGAGAAGTCTTGGAGGCGAGCATCAGATGTGGGAGTACAGACAGAGGATAGGCGTAGGTCTTCGGCAGAGTGCAGGGGCATCAACGGGACCTATTTGTGTATTAGGGAGGATAGGTAGGTTGGAGCAGCATTATGTAGGGACTTGTAAGTAAGCACCAGAATCTTAAATTGAGCCCTATATTTAACTGGAAGACAATGTAGGGACTGACAGAGCGGGGAGGCATGGGAGGTGCGGGCAGACAGAAAAATTAGCCTGCCGCGGCATTCATTATAGATTGCAGCGGTGCAATCTCGGAACTCGTAAGACCAGTGAGAAGGGGATTGCAGTAGTCAAGGCAAGAAAGAACAATGGCATGGACCAGCACCTTAGCTGCGTCTGGAGTTAAATAAGGGCGGATGCGAGCTATGTTTTTGAGATGGAAGCGGTATGATTTGGCTATTGACTGGAAATGAGGGGTAAAGGAAAGGTCAGAGTCAAAGAGAACACTTAGGCAGCAAGCCTGCAAGGTAGAGGTGATGGTGGCGCCGTTGACTTGGAGGGAGACAGACACAGGAGTAGTAGTCTTATATATGTATGATATGTAATAAAATGCTTTAATTATTTTATAATATATTATACATATATAATATCTGTATAATAAATTTATTTTATCATTTTTTATGTGTCAGGGGGATTGTCTGACAGCTCAGACAGTTCCCCTACTGGCAGTTTCATAGACTCCAATTGTGGCCATGTGATCATGGTGCTATAACATTGCTGTATGGAGGGATAATATATTCATACCTAGGTGCCAATACTCCTCAGCACTCCCTCAAATTCCCAACAAATTAAAATATAATACAAAAAGAGATTGCACAGTAGACTACTCCTAAGAGATACATATAAATGCTTTATTAAACCAAAACAGGTTATAACAAACACAAAGCACAACAATCAAATGGAGCACCACATCAAATTTGAAGTAACAACAATAAAGCAAAAACCCTTTAACAGTGGTACTAACCACAACTTACTCAAGCCTATCCTGGCAGAAACACGAGCCCCTAATACCCCCAACATTTAAGCACCTTCTGGCTGCCTTTATCAACACCCTTGTGTGAAATCTCTTTTTTGTATTACATGTAATCATGGTGATCACATGGCCCTGAAGTGCCGGAGATGTAGGAGCTGCTGCAGGAGGACTGCTGGGATCTTGGGAAGTCCCCCCTGACCAGGATCGCCATGGATCGCTGGTCCAGGTGAGTGCAGGGCTCTGATTTGCGGCGGACGTACCAGGTCCGTCCGAGGTCGTTAATAACCGTTTGTTGTTGGACGTACCTGGTATGTCCGCGGTTCAGAAAGGGGTTAAGCTGTATATCGGATATTGAGCTGTGTATTATACATTAAGCTGTAGTTATTTTGGTGACTATAGTGTCCCTCCTGAATATCTGCTGCTAATGGCTTTGTGTCAGATACCACAGGACACATTCGGAGTTCTTGTGGAGTCCATGCCTTGATGTATCAGAGCTTTTTTGGCAGCATGAATATTAGGAAGATGGTTTTAAAGTTGTGGCTGATCAGTGTATGTTCGATGTTACATTTTTCTGTAAAATGTAAGAAAACAGATAAGTACAAAATTAATCTGATAAATATAAATAGACTGAAGTTAAAATTAATAAAATTAAGAGAAATTTGGAGTATGGTCTAACGGAACTTTGCGGAACATGTACTGAATGTGTGGTGAAAGGCTGGGCCAAGAGTTACATATCTTCATGCTAATGTCCCAAATTACAGAGGTTGCTCTCTCTCCCCCTGCCCATATCTTTTGGTGCCCATTCTGCCATGGAAAATAAATGGCCCTGATATATGACAATGGCTATAAAGTTGACTTATGTTGGCTTTTGATCTCACTGTTCTACTGATCTTTCCTCACACCATTTGTGATTTCTGCTAATTCATTTGGACTTTACAGAGCGGGAGTTTGTAAGCTTCCCACATTGAATGTAGCATTAGCACACTGACCATTGTAAAATATTGTACACTAAAATAAATTTACCAAAAAAAAAACCTTTATTAATGTCTTCCCAGGACCAAACAGCAGACTATTACACAGGGGACAGAAAACATCAACTAGCTCCACACACTGAGAACTCGATTTTGGGAGCAGGACTAACATTTCAGTACCAATGCTATAAAACCTTAATGAGTCCCTCCAAGCTATTGCTCACCAATCTCGTTTTTAATTAATTAGTTATTATTGATTCCAATAATAGTTCATATTTACACATTTGTTTGAGTAATGTATAATTTTTGCTTAAGATATCATTTTAATTTTGCATTTTATTTGAAATGATATTAAAATTGGCTAATCACATTTCTACATCTAGTTTAAATATAAATATGTAATTAATCCTTGATAGGGAAGAACACCCCAATCCCCACTGGGTCACCCTCTGTGCACTCAAACACAAGACCAAACAAGCCTGGCATAGTCCTAAAAGATGATTTCTGTTTTATCCTTTTCTTAGTAAGGACAACGCAGACAAACGAGATCTGGGCCTAACCTTCATAATACCTGGAACATTCAAATCTGAAAAAAGAGACCAAGATCACCGCTAAAAAAATTGGTTTTAGTCGAGAACTACAAATGTCAACTGAGACACAGTTACTTTGCTGAAAGGGTTGTGGATACATGGAATAGGCTTCCAGTGAATCCTTTACAGCAGTGAACACAAGGACTCTGGATAGTATTAATACTTTCCTAACACAATGTAACTTATGGTCTTGATACAGGATAATATGTATCAGGACATCATATTATTATTAAGGTCACATATTGCCTTTTTGAATATCCCGTTATTGTGTGATGTCGTCTGCTGGATGTG